GAAAGTGGTAAGTGCAGTATGACTATTTTTTATTTTTATAATGCCTGTCATTCAAAGCCGCCCAAAGACCTACAAAGAGAAGACATACATGTAGACTAGACATCATAAAGACTTTGGAAACAAGGCAGTTTGTTAGTTAAACAAGTAACTTGGTTGTGGACTGATATACAATGCATGCATACCTGCTTTTAAAATATGTTTCAACTAAAAAAAAACAAACAAAAACAAAACAGAAAAACAACTTTTTATAACCTTAACACTGTTTAAATAACAACCAAATGCTATACTTTCTGAGCTAATTCTAATTGCAAAATACCAATTTTTCCAGTATTCACCCCAAAAGTATCAGCTGATGGGATCGATCCTTTATCTCTGGCATGCTATTCTACTCTACTTTTCTAGGAGTACAAAGACACAGTGAGCAATAGGAGGAGGGAAGAAATCTGAGACAATGAAACCAAGGGCATCTTTTTGGGGTCACAGAGAGCTTATAAGAGAAGAAGCTTGAATTTTATAAGATTCTGATTCATTTTTGGAGTCCCTGGTTGGTACAAATTGTTATCTCACTTGGCTACTAACCGAAGGGTTGACCGTTTGAGTCAACCCAGAGGCACCTCAAAAGAAAGGCCTGGTGATTTACTTCCAAAAAATCAGCCATTGAAAACCCCATGGAGCACATTTCTAACTAATCTGACACACACAGGGACATCATGAGTCAGATCGACTCTACTTCAACTGGTTTTATTTTTATTAATTTTTAATCAAATTGCAAGTAAAATGACAAATATTCACCTGATTCTTGCCCTAACCAGTCTTCAGCTTTTGTATTCTATGACGTGTTGCTCTTATTCACAATGAAATAGTTAAATACAATATGCCCACTGTGAACTACTAACTTGGTGGTGCTTTTGAAAGGTAAGGGGGGGGGGGAGGCAAAGTAATCACCCATCCAACTGTGGCTGATATATTTGATGTTATTTTACATACTTCTGTAACATATTGTTTTCAGCCTTTCCAGTGGAAAAGGGTGAATTGTAACAGGGACTCCTCCAAGAGCAGAAGTGTAATTCAACACGCAACGTGAGAGCCCAGGAGTTCTCTTGACTCCATTAACCAATCACAGGTCTGTTAGCGCAAATCGCAGACCTGAGCTGCCTGCTGCAAAAGCCAATACTGAGACAGGGGTGAGGTGAGCAGCAAGCGGGTTTTATTGTATATCGATATACAGGAGACAGAGGGGAATGAGCTCCTCCAAAAAACCTGTCTCTCCAACTGGAGACTGGCTGAAAGCTTTCATTTGGACAGGATTATAGTTTCTCTTCGCATTGGTGACGTTTCTCATGTCCCAGATGATGCAATTTCTTACTGGCAATCCTTGAAGGTTATCTGGCACCGTTCATCACAATTGTCACGTCGCAGATGAGTTAATCCTAGTCCTTGAGGGTTATCAACTTGGTCTGCCACCTTCCAAGGAGAAACTTTAGTCAATCTTACTGGAATAGAAGGAGGGAGAAAGAAGAAGGAAAAAACAAAAAAGAAAATATCACGAGGAAAAGTGGGGGCTAGTAATGGCGGGAAACAATGGTGGTACTTGAGCTTATGTAGCCTGTTCCAGGTCAGAGCACTGCCCAGAATTCAATGATGCACAAGAGCAGGACAAAAGAGGAATCAGGCAGCAAGCTTTGCAGTACTGTCCCTACCCCTTAACGTCATGGCACTTGAAACTACTGCGTTTAAAGGAGTGCTTGATAGGTTTCAATGAGCCCTTGTTGCTCGGTGGTTAAAGTGCTCAGCTGCTAATTGAAAGGTCAAACCAGCCACTCCTGGGGAGAAAGATGTGGCAGCCTGCTCCCGGAAAGATTACAGCCTTGGAAACCCTGAAGCAATTCTAATCTATCCCATAGTGTCACTATGAATCAAAACTGACTCCATGGCAACAGGTTTGGTATTTTCTTTTTAAATTTTTTTTTTAAGGTTTCATCAGGCCCTCAGGAAAGATAATAAATGAAATGGTGGAGATCTGTCTAAGCAGGCTGTGTTTGCTCACCGGAATCAGGGGACTTTTAAAACTATATAGTTTCCAGATCCCACCCCAAACCTCAGATTCTGCAGTTAGGGCTCAAGAATCTATATCTTCATGACATTCCCAGGGTAATTCTGGTAGACAGAATGAGATTTGAGAATTGAGGGTTCTTAGTGTTGCAGTGGTTAAGCGCTTGGCTGCTAACCGACAGGTCAGTGGTTCAAACCCACCAGTCGCTCCATGGTAGAAAGACGTGGAGGTCAGCTTCTGTAAAGATAACAGCCCTGGAAACCCTATGGGGTAGTTCTACTATGTCCTATAGGGTCTCTTTGAGTTGGAATCGACTTGATGGCAATGGGTTTGGTTTATTTTCAAATACACCCTCAAATCCTACTCAGATGTTTAGTTTTATATTTATTTATTTCTCCTCAGGCGCTAGTCAAAGAAAAAAGAGGATACCATTTCCTTTCCCAGGCCTTTATATTCACAGAATAATTGTTGAATAATTTCTCACATTGCTAACCAAACCTTTGTTTCATATTACAAATGAAGACACAAACTCAGAGAGGTTAAGTGCCTGGCTCAAGGTTCCACAGTAAGCTAATGGTAGTGCTGTTACTAGAAAGTCGGGATGTTTTATCATCTATGGTCAGCTGACCATTCCTTTTCCTCTCTTTATTCCCTGCTGTGCATCTATGTGTAAGAAAAATGGAGGCATATTATAACTCCTAGGGGACCTCCTGGAAAAATCGGGCACAAGTTATGGTAAATACAGATATTAATCCCAAAACAACATGTTCTCTCAGAGGGGAACTTATAGATTGTAAAAAGATTTAAGAGAGGTATCAACCAAATACAGTGTGTTGTATTTGGATCCTGATTTGAAGAAAATGTTTTAAAAAAATTATGAGATGTTACGGATTGAACTGTGTCCCCCAAAAATGTATAGCAACTTGGCTAGTCCATGATTCCCAGTATTGTGTAACTGTCCACCATTTTGACATCTGATGTGATTTTCTTATGTGTTGTAAATCCTATCTCTATGATGTTGATGAGGTAGGATTAGTGGCAGTTATGTTAATGAGGCAAGACTCAATCTACAAGATTGGATTGTGTCTTGAACCAATCTCTTCTGAGATATAAAAGAGACAAGTGAGTTGAGAGACAGGGGGACCTCATACCATCAAGAAAGCAGCGCCAGGAGCAGAGTGCATCCTTTGGAACCGAGTTTCCTGTGCTGAGAAGCTCCTAGACCAGGGAAAGATTGATGAGAAGGACCTTCCCTCAGAGCCAACAGAGATTGAAAGCCTTCCCCTGTAGCTGGCACTCTGAATTCAGACTTCTAGCCTCCTAGATTGTGAGAGAATAAATTTCTCTTTGTTAAAGCCATTCATTTGTGGTATTTCTGTTATAGCAGCACTAGATAACTAAAACATTAGACAATCAGGGAAACAAAAACACTGCCTGGATGTTTAATTACATTAAGGAATCATGTTTAATTGTTAATAATGTGACAATTTTATTATGTTTATGTTTTTGAAAGTCCTTGCACTTTAGAAATACATGAAATATTTATGAATAAAATGATATCTGAGATGTTTCAAATCAGTGATGGAGTAAGGAGGGAAAGTGGCTGTGATGAAACACACAGGTTTGAAACAAGATTGTCCATGAGTTGATAATTATTGCGTCCAGATAATGGATGCACAGGGTTTGTTATACCATACTCACTACTTACGCATATTTTGTAAACATTTTTAAGAACCCCTTACTCTCAAAGGCTGGGTTACAGTTTTAATATGATTATCATTGAGGTCCACAGCTTGATAAGACTATGGATAGCTTTATATTACTCAGGAAAAGAACACCTCAGCTTTCCACTCTGCTTGTTGTGGAAGATGAGGTAAATACAAGCCATTTAAAGCAGAAACTATGGTTTCTAATAACTGAAGTCACTTTCAAAGCAGTTAAACTCTTTTATAACCTGTCACATGTGATAGAGTTACAACTGCAAGGGGCAGATTATTAAAACAGTAATGGCAGTTTAGTAAACTGTGGAATTATAAAAAAAAAAAAAATCACATTTCATAAGAGTTTTCATAAATCAGAGTATGCCTGGGGAATTGTTAATTGCCTCAGTAAAATGAGGGCACTCACCCCAGGTCCGGTTAGCAGGTAACCTTCTAGTTGGGGTGTCAAGTTTAACACCAATTTCCAAGTGTAAATAGGAAATTGCAGGGTCCACACTTTGAAACTAAACAACTCTGCCTTTCTCCTTAGTCCTTGCCCACCACCCCCTTTCTGAATCCACAAAGAGCTGTGAATCTTAAATGGCAGGATCTACCAGCATTCCCTGCAACTGTTGTAACTGGCTCCCAAATTAAATTAAAAGTGTTTGGAGTTTTAAACAGTAATAAAATAGCAAGCACAAGAAACATTGTAGATAATCCAGCCTAGGAGTAGCAATAGAGAATCTAAGGGGAGACAGAACTAGGTCTATGGAAAGATAATATTTTCAGTGTTTATTTTTCTTCAAGAACTCCAAATAGTTGCCTTGGCAGGCAGTCTACCCTGTAACTGCCCCTTCTGAAGACTCCAAGGTGTTTATAGAAATTGAAAGTTCCAGCAGTACATTTCCATGAGCTCATTACCAGTTCGTTATACCTTTTAGATTTCACATGTACAAATGAATATCCAAGCAGTATAACCTCCTGTTTTGAGCTTTTAATTACAGAGTAGTAATAGTAGCTATTTGACTACATAACAACAGGACATCTTTAGAGTCCCTGTTTTGGTCACTATTATTCAAAGCAACTCCAATGTCATTTCTTTCTTTTCTTGCCTGCCTCTTTATGCTAATAGCCTAGCCAGCTTCACTCCGCCCCCTTCCAGCTTCCCTTAAGAACTGTACACTTTCAGCTGTCACAGACGGTAACTCAGACCAGGCTTAGAAATCACTAGATTTAACTCAGCAGCATTTTTTTTTTTTTCTGGGTTGGTAGTTATTACTCTAGCAGTCCTCTCTAACTACTGAGGCACAGGATTTCATGTCAGCAGCAAGAATCAAAAATTGCCCAAACTCTCATCTGTTAGAAACAGTTACTTTGTAGGATTTTATTCTTTAAGGGAGAAGATTTTCAATTTGTTTTAGAATGAAACAACAATTAAGTGGTGTTTTTAGCCAAATGAATTGGCATCTTTATAGGTAGGAGAAGTAAAATTAGTAAATATTTATTTCAAAAATCATGACAAGGAAAAACTAGGAAGTTTATTAGAGAAGTAAATATTTTACATGCAAGGACAGTATCTGCTTCTATCTAGGTGACGCTAAGTGTCCTGTGAGGACCACTTTAGGTGACTGGCCAAGGGAAGGATATGCCCCAGTGATACTCAAGCCACGAGCCGTACTACTAGCACCATGTCTACTACACAAAGAAAAGGCAGCAGCCATCTGTTCAGCAGTCTGCGAGGGTGTAAACTGAAGCTTCAGGAGGACTGGCGACAGCAAGGTGAGTCAGTCATGCTAGTGAGTCGTGTGCTCCGTGACCTGCAGTCCCTATGCAGTCCCAGAAGGACGATGCGCTGGGGAAGTACCTGGGGAGCTCTGATTGTGAAAGGCTTTGCAATTCTCCATTTTTAAACTCTGAGAATAGGCATGACAGTGATGCATAAGGGTGGGTTAACTTGAGTTCTTTATTGATTTTTAAAGGATTATGGAAGACTATCAAGACTTCATAGTCCTTGGAGTTGCCATTCTGAAACTTTACGTGTTTAAACTTACAGCCGCCGTCAGTTTTCTAGAGTATGCTAGATTTTGTGTAATTCAAAACACCCATCAGGGCAACGCTGAATCAGCTGACAGGGGATTCAGCTGAGAGAAGCTTCAAGCTAGCCTGGAACTGTCTCTCCTGTCCTACAATCAGTAGTACACTTTGGGGCTGAAAGTTTAAACCTAATATTGTCTGGATCTCTAGATCATTCATTTGTGGGAAAAGTAAATACATTCTTGGTTCTTTCTCTTTTATGGTCCAGGAACAGCTGAAGACAGACAGGAAAAGTGTCACATTTCACACGATGGGCACCCATTCAGACTAAACTATCTACCTCACAGCCATTTTCACCACTTTTTTTTTTTTTTTAAATTTCAAATCCATAACCCATCCAGCTGCATCAATTAGAGGCAGATGGTTGACATGAATAGACAAGCTGATCTCTCCAATCCACTCTGTCAGGGACAGCAGAAGACACTTGTGGGAAGGACTGGGTATTGTCATGGATGACATCACCAACCCCCAGAAGTTAAGGATTTACCCCAGACATTTCTAATTCTCTGGCCAGTGATGGGTCTATGTACATATGGATCTAGGCTATGAGCTCTTTATTTTTTGCATAGACACAGTTTTAGATTTCAGTGACATGAAGAAGGTTGGCTGAAGGGCTGAAACCTTCCACTTTTAAGGTGGGACATTTGTGTGAATGAGTCTGGCACCTCACTGCATCAGTTCCTGCAACTATACAAACTGACTTCATGCTGTACAAGGCTAAACACAATGTGGGTAGAAAATACTTCACATTATATAAAAACACTGTAAACTTTTAAGACCATTCTTTACCATCAGGGCTTAAATAAATAATTTTGAACCAACCATCTTAGAATAGAAACTCCTGAAATGTGCCAGGACTTAGATCATGGCAGTGTAAAAGGCTTTTGCTACTCTGTTGGTGGATAATGCTAACTCATCTTGGGTTTTTTGTTATATTTTGTTTGAAATGTTTAAGGTGATGTTTTCACCCCAATTTCTGATATAATACTTAACTATGGAAAATTTGGTGAAGAGACCATAAAGGAGATGGTAAAATCAGCTGTAACCCTGCCACTTTAAGCTAGTTACTATTAACATTTTAAAGTAGCCCTTTTTTTCCTATGTACATATATGCATTATTCTCTTGTTTGATTTTTAAACAAAAATAGGCTTATTTTGTATGTAGTGTTTTGTAAACTGTTTTTCAACAATAGATTATGAACAATTTTCCATGTCATTATATATTCTTCTACAATCTTATTTTTAATGGTTGCATACTATTCCTTCACATGGATATAGCAAAATTCCTTTACACAATTCTCTATTGTTAGAGATTTAGTTTATTTCTAATGTTTCATTATTATAAGCAATATTGTGTCAAACATAAACCAATGGATAAATCTTTGCACATATATGTGATTATTTTTGTAGGATAAACTCTTATAGGTGGAATTGTAGGGGGTCAAAGGATATGCATGTTTTTAAGACTTTTTTTTTTTTTTTTTTTTTTTAACAAATGGCCCTTCAGTCAGCACTCTGAACAGCAGTGTAGGGACATGTTCTCAGTAATAGTGGGTATTACTTTTTAAATTCTTTGCCAATTTTATAAGTGGAAAATGGCATCCTACTGTTGTTTTAACTTAAAGCAGGCTGCCATGATGGTCTCTCCCTTATGGGTCATAGCCAGAGCAGCCTGGAAATACCATTATGATGACATATTTCCCAAAATACTAACAAGACTAGAAGTCTGCTCTCCTTTCTCAGATTGAAGCTTTTGCCTAGAATTTTTTGAAAGAAATCCTATTCTTCAACAGCTGCCTCTCAAAACATCTACCCACATAAACTATACAGAGTTTTGAAGCATACTAATGCAGTACAGACTGGCTACTGACTGCTGGAAGAAATGTCATCTACAGATTTGAGTTTACAAGTGACACTGGGTAAATGTTTGCTATGCTGCTCAATAGCATTCCAGTTACTATCCTGGAGTTTTAAAGTATTCATTCAGTGCTGTTGTTGTTGTTAATTGCCTCTGAGTTGACTTCAACTCATAACAATACCATGTGTGCAGAGAAGAACTGCTCCATAGGGTTTTCAAGGCTGTGATCTTTTGGAGTAGATAACCAGGCTTGTATTCTGAGGCACCTCTGTGTGGGTTTGAAAAACCAATCTTTAGGCTAGTAGTTGAGTGCTTAACAATTTGTGCCATCCAGGGATTTCTCATTCAGTGAAGTGGTCCTGATTTTTCTTCCAAGCTATAGTTGCACCTTGCAATTATGTAAAGTTCAGCAAAGGTCCAAGGAAGCAAAGCCATTAGTTTCCGACAGCGAGTTCTGGCTACGGATTTATTCATCAACGAATTCTCGGTTTAGGGCTTTGGCCCACCCCCAACCAGAATAAGGTTCCAGCTCTCTCATTTAGCATACAGACTATGATTGAGTGGCATGTAACTCCTCTGAGAGCGTGACTAGATTCAACACCTGAATATTTTCTAACTTCCCATGCTATATACTTAAGTGCTTTATGTTAACTCTGAGGTATTTGACCCTTTCCATCTAGTCAGTCACAGAAATGTTACTTTTTGGGTAATCACATTAATAACGATCATTTATTTTCAGCAACTATCTGGGCAACGACTATGTGCAAAGTGCTGTGCAGATGCTGGGTACATAAGTTGCCTAATAAGCTGAGTATTGCATTGGGCAAATCTGCTGCAAAAAACCTCCTTAAAGAATTAAAAAACAAAGACGTCACGTTGCGAATTAAGGTGCGCCTGACCCAAGCCAAGGTGTTTTCAATTGCCTCGTATGCATGTGAAAGCGGGAAAATGACTAAGGAAGACCTAAGAAAAATTGACACGTTTCACTTATGGTGTTGGTGAAGAATACTGAATATGCTATGGACTGGCAGAAGAACAAACAAATCTATCTTGGAAGAAGTACAGCCAGAAAGCTTCTTAGAAGCAAGAATGGCAAGACTTCATCTCACGTACTTTGGACATGTTATCAGGAGGGACAAGTCCCTGGACAAAGACATCGTGCTTGGTAAAGTAGAGGGTCAGTGAGAAACAGGAAGACCCTCTATGAGATGGATGGACACAGTGGCTGCAATAATGGGCTCAAACATAGCAACGATTGTGAGCATGGCACAGGACACTGGCAGTGTTTCATTCTGTTGTACGTAGGGTCGCTGTGAGTCAGAACCGTCTTGACAGCACCTAACAACAGCAACAACAACTAAGCTGTGGTTTCTTGTCTACATAGAGTTTGCACTCTATGACAATAGATGCTACAGAAGTGCAGAATAGACGTTCAGGATGCTCATCTCACTATTTGTTGCTGTGTTATAGCTTCTTCCGTGATATTTTAAATCCATTTATCAATATGACGTCGGTATTGTGACCATTGTAAACAGTACTTCGTATGTCTATAAAGCATCAGCAAAGTTCATTACACATGACTAGTCAAGACTTAACTATTCGTATGTTTTATAGTGCTTTAACGTTTACAAAATAATTTCACATACGTTATCTCACTTGATTCTCGTAATAACCAAGCAAGGTAGGTGTTAGTATCTTCATTTTAAAAGATGTGGAAACTGGGAATCTTCAAAGTCTAGTGACTTTTCCAAGGTTATACGTTTATTAAGGGCTACTTTCAATGCACTTCCTGCTCTATATTGTTGTTTTTGTTGGGTGCCATCAAGTCAGTTCTGACTCATAGCGATCCTATGTACAACAGAACGAAACTGCCCGGTTCTGTGCCACCCTCACAGTCGCTGTTATGCTTGAGCTTATTGTTGGAACCACTGTGTCCGTCCATCTCGTTTAGAGTCTATCTCTTTTTCCCTTTATCCTTTACTTTACTAAGCATGATGTTCTTCTCCAGGGACTGGTCCCTCCTGATAACATGTCCAAATTACATGAGATGAAGTCTCACCATCCTTGCTCCTGAGGAGCATTCTGGCCGTATTTCTTCCAAGACAGATTTGTTTGTTCTTCTGGCAGTCCATAGTATATTCAATATTCTTCATCCACATCATAGTTCAAAGGCATCAATTCTTCTTCTGCTATATACAGCTGTCTCATAAAATCCTTGATTCCTAGCGGTACAATGTTTAATTTTTTTCATTAATCCATATCAGAGAACCTGCCCCACAGATAGCAAAGATGCCTTGGGGTTCCTCCTAGTTTACTTTGGCAGTGATTTTTCTGGATGTGCTTAGTTCTTAATGTCAGGCAGTTACCCAGAAGCCAACTAACACAGATTAATGCCATCAACCATTTTTTTATTTAACACATTTTTACTGAATATCCTCTATGTACTGTATGCTATACTAGAAACTGGTAATACAAACACGGTTTTCTCACCAGGTTGTTTTCTAACATGTGTTTTCTGAGGAATTCAGTAATAGCAAATAGACTAGCTAATGATACTTTTTTCATCTCTTTGGGTGGAGGAATATGTCCTTCCATTCCATAATGCATTTTATGTTCCGACTTTGCTGCATTCTTCATCCTTCTTCACATTTGCGTTACACTCCTCTCGAGGGTTTTGGAAGGTACTGAATAGAGTTGAGAACTTTGTAAATATAAACATAAAGTCCTGCCTATCTCTATGTCATCAATTTTGCTCTGAATTTAAGCCAAAAAACATAAATTACACTTAGATTGTTGTAAATGTACTATTTCTCTTAAGCATTTTCTG